CACTGTTGATGAGGAAAACAGATTGCAACATTTGTTCTGGTGTGATGGCATGATGCAGATGGAGTATGAAGTTTTTGGTGATGTGTTAGCATTTGATGCAACCTATGGGAAAAATAAGTATTTATGTCCTGTAGTTGTATTTTCTGGTGTTAATCATCACAATCATACGATAGTATTTGGGAGTGCTATTGTTTCAAATGAAACTGTAGAAACATATATATGGGTACTTGGGCAATTTGTAGAAGCCATGAAAGGAAAGTCTCCAATGTCTATTATCACTGATGGTGATGTTGCAATGAAAAATGCGATAAGAAAGGTATTTCCTAATTCACAGCATAGATTGTGTGCATGGCACTTATTAAGGAATGCGACAACTAACATTAAGAAGCCAGCATTTACAAAGGATCTAAGAAAATGCATGTTGGGTGAGTATGAAATTGGTGAATTTCGAAAGAAGTGGTCTGAAATGTTGAACAAATTTGAGTTGCATGATCATCCTTGGGTTATAGGGAAAAATTGGGTAGCTCTATGTTCATATATGATGTTATCTATCTCTCACCGTCCTGTTTTTATGTGGTTTTCTTTTAGGTGAAGATGAAGGCACTCATAGTGTTGAGTTCTAAAGGGAAAGGGTTCTGCTCTGATAGGATGTGACATTGGGGCATGAATTTAGGATGCTTTAGTTATGAATTGTTATTTGTCGTTTGAGGAGACTTATTTTTAAGAGTTTTATATTCACCTTATATTTGTAAATTCTGGATTCCTTTCATTTTTCTTTAGAGACCTTGATAATTTTCTTTTAAGAGTAAAACTTTATTATTATTATTATTATTATTTCTATTTATTTCAAGACTTGTGAACCTATGAGTTTTTATTAAAATATGTGGACCCTTCTTGATGTTATATTTATTGAATTATTCTTATTGTTGTTACTTATTTATTATGGGGTAGAAGGGTGTCACAGTTAGGACATTATGGGTTCAAAAATTCACTTAAATATTACGCCTATATACATTATTTTGGATTTACTTTAGGAACGTATTGTATTAATAGTCTAACCTTCTTAATTAGTTGATTAGTAGGTCGAGCCTTGTAAATGTTTTGATTGGATCCACTATATTGGTCTATTAATAGATGTTGTGAGACTTGTTACATACTCTCATTTTTCATATTTTAGAGTTGTTTCCTCTACAAGTTTCTCAAAAATTCTTTTGCATTCTCTCTCTGATTTTTCTCTCTACATTTTCTAAATGAATGAATTATAGCAACTCAATAGGGATGTGTGGTTAGTTCGTTCGATTGATTCCATATTACATGAATTGCAATAAAATTTGAGTTCCCAATTTTATTTTTACCCTATGAATTCTCTTAATATTCTTCTCCATTCTAGATTTAATTTTCATTTTTATAATTATGAATTTTGTTTTAATTAGATCTAGAACCAAGATTGAAGTTTATTTCTAGATCTAGATCTAGATCTAGATCTAGATTTAGATTTAGATCTAAAATAATCTAAATCACCTAAATCAATCATTCACTGTATCAATAGATATATATTTTAGATTTACATTCTACTTCTGTTCATGTTGATTTAAGGTTGATTGAATTTGAATTATATTTTCAACTATGAATATTTTACCATAAGGATTAAAATCTTGAATTTATGCAATTTGTAATTGAAGTTTCTAATTAATATTTTGTTTGCATTCTTAATTTTCAATTATTGTTTTGTTGTCCAAAAACCCCCTTCCTAATAATTCCATGATAAATTTATATTCAATTGATTTGTATCTTCGAGAAGAATGACCTAAGTTGTTCCTTATATTACAAATTTTAAGGAAAATCTACTATTTTTATAGAGATTCAACAATGTTATCAAACTGATGGAAACCTACTTCACAAGAATCCCTTTGGAAGAGATAAGTTTAAGAAGAGTGAAGGTTGATAAAGTTGGTTTGAAGAATTGTAGGGTACTTATCCTTATTTTGTAAAAGTACCCAACCTTTGGAGGCCTATCCTACCTTAAAAGACTCTTATTGTTGTTATACATTTTTCTTACTAGTAATTCATTTTAGTAGAGATTATATTATGATACTTTTGTCCTTGCATTTTGGGTCAAGCGGACAATATCTACATGCGGGTTCTTGGGCTGTTACATTGGTATCAGAGCCGGTTCCCGGGCCGGTGTGTCAGCGAGGGCGCTGGACTCCCTTGAGGGGGGGTGGATATAGTCCCACATCGGTTAGGAAGGAGAACGAAGCATGCCATATATATGGGTGTGGATACCTTCCTTGTGTAGACGCGTTTTGGGGTGGCATGCGTGCCATTGCTAGAAACAAATCCGTGAGGGCTGCAGCCAAAGTGGACAATATCTACATGCGGGTTCTTGGGCTGTTACATTGGTATCAGAGCCGGTTCCCGGGCCGGTGTGCCAGCGAGGGCGCTGGACTCCCTTGAGGGGGGGTGGATATAGTCCCACATCGGTTAGGAAGGAGAACGAAGCATGCCATATATATGGGTGTGGATACCTTCCTTGTGTAGACGCGTTTTGGGGTGGCATGCGTGCCATTGCCAGAAACAAATCCGTGAAGGCTGCGGCCAAAGCAGACAATATCTACATGCGGGGTCTTGGGCTGTTAAATAAGTAGTGTAGGTAATTTTGTCCTTGTATTACTTGAGGGTGTGATTAGTAGATTAGGGCAGGTGTAACTAGCAAAGTCTTGGTAGACTTATTTGGGCTTGGATGGACCAAATCTTTCTTATGGCCCTTAGGTTTGGATGTCTACTTTCTCATGCAAGTGGTTTGGACATTTGATAGTTTTGCCAAATCACTATAAAAAATTACTAGAATTCCCCCCCCCCCCCAAAGATTTGTGATATAGGGAATAATCTAGGTCATTCTTCTCGAAGACACAAGCAAATTGGATCCAAATTATCACATAACTATAAAGGGAATTTTCATGAACAAAAAAATAAAAATTAGAATATTGCAAAGAGAAACAAATTTTCAATATTAAAATTCAATTAGAAATTACATCGATTCAAGATTTCAATCGCTACGATAAAGTTTTCATGATTCAAATTATAATCTAAATTCAATCAACCTAAATCAACATGAACATAATCTAAATGTAGATCAAACTCTAGATCTATTGAATTTCATAAAAATATGAAAAACAATCACAATCTCACAATTTATTTGAATTTCAAGAATGGTGAACGACTGACTTAGGGGAGTTAGGTTATTTTGGATCTAGATGAAGATTTAGATCTAGATCCAAAAAATTAATCTTCAAATTTGATCTTAACGCATTAAAACACAATTCATAATCATGAAGAATGGAAAATAGATCTAGAATGGAGAAAAAGACAAAACGGATTCCTACGATAAAAATAAATCGAGAACTCAAATTTTATCGTAATTCACGAAACCTTGAATCGAATGAACGGATTAGCCACACATCTTCATCAAGATGCTGCAGTTTCTTTGCGTAGAAAAAATGTAAAGAGAAAATTCTAAGAGAGAAAGAGAGAGAATTTAGAGAAACTTGTAGAGGAAGCAACTCTAAAATATAAAAAATGAGTGTAAAGTGTACACAAAAAGTCTCACAATACCTATTGATAGAGAAATATAGTGGGTCTAATATAAGTAATTAAAGGCCCAGCCCACTAAATAACACTACAACAAAATTTAGTATTACCAACAATTATTTAATGGCAATTGTTCAACTAGGATTAGCTTACCTTGCTTCATAAGCATCTAGACAACTAACTAGACTTTTAACTAGAGTTAGTTAACTTAAGTACAAGATAGCTAACCATGGTTAGTCTAGCTTACACCATAAGCCAACTAAACTTATATATTATAGTTTTGACCTATTTTGTACTAACTTTTGAGCATTTATTGAGATTGGTCAAGTTTTCTCCCTATAATTTTCCCTGTCAAAAGCTTAATTCTCTCTTTAATTTGCTTTTAATTCTCTTATCCTCTTCCTAAGAATGTGGTGAAACTAGAAGTGGTTTATCTTCTTCATTGAAGTGACACCACATGAAGAGAGTTCTTCACCTTTGAAGGTGAATCACGAGTTTTTCTTCTCCAATGGAGAACTCTTTGAAGCTTAATAAGTGTCAAGAAGTCAAAGATTTAGGAAGAAACCTGAAGGAGAAGCTTCATATCAATCAAGTTCCCCCATGAGGTTTCCTTCACAAACACATTGTAAAAATACATTCATTTTTTTTAACAAGTTGTGTACTTTAAATTTTTGTATTGTGTCTTGAAAGTAAGACTAAACAACACAATTATCTTACCCAACTTAATTAACGTAGTGTTATTGTTTTAAGCTTGGAGATGCTCAATTGTAAAACAATACTTGGTTGATTAAAGTCCAAAGAGTCTTTGTGTTTAAATAATACTTGGTTGTTTAAAGCCTAGAGAGGCTTTATGTTCAAGAAATACTTGGTTAATCGAAGCCTAGAGAGGCTTTCTGTTCAATGAATACTTGGGTAAATGTTTAAAGACACAAGTCAAAGAATACTTAGGTTGAGTCATAAGTGGCTAGTAAAAGAATAATTGTATCTTTGTAAAAGATAGTGAAACTTGATTGGTTAATCAAGAACTAGACGTAATCTCGATGTTTGAGATGAACCAATATAAAAACACCTTATGTTATGTTTTCCTATCTCTTTATCTACACTCTTAAAGTTAAGATACTACGTTGATATTTGGAAAAGGTGTTAGTTTTGATCGACACTATTCAACTACCCCTTTTAGTATCTATGTTTTATCCAAAAATATAGAAAGCTTACCTTCTATAAAATTGTTTACGTAGATAAATATATTTTTATTTTAATATAAACTGGGAATCCAAATTCTTTTGCATATATTTCCACGTATGAACTAGTGAAGTTCGATTTATAAAGGTGAATGACTATTTTATTTCAAAGAAAAATAATATGTGACAAAACTCTTATCAACTCCAATAAAAATTATTAAATCATAGTTCATGAACGCACTTTATTATAGTTTCATAACCATTAGTACAATAGATCTTCATTACCTACAACAACAAACATTTTTCACACAGAAACTATCATATGTAAAACCTAAAGAAACACATGTACGCCTACACATTGCAAGAGTTGTGCAACGCCATGCACATTTAACTTTTCCAGGAATGTACAGTTCTGTTGCTAGTCCTTCAATAAAAACAAATCAAATTTAATGAACAAAATTTATTACTTTTCTTATGTGAAATTTAAGCATAAAATTGATAAGCAAGGGATTATATATCCACTTTAATCATTTTGCCTTCATTTTTAGAATTAACTAAACAAATAAAAAAGTCAACATTTTTCCTTTTAAAATTGTACGTTAAAAAAATAAATAAAAATGAATAAATTTCTTTCTTTAGAATACCTGAAGTCAGTAGCAAAGCAAGAAAAAAAATTCCAAAGGAGTAAGGTTGATAGAAGCCAACAGCCATTTTATGATAAGTTTATCTTCTAATCTTCTTATCTTGTGAGATGAATATTTTACATCCTACCTATTATATATGTGTGTGCAGATTATATGATGTTGAATAAACAAAATTATGCATTACTAGAAGATATTAAACTAAAAATAAAAAATAAATAAATTTTCTCAGTCAATTCAATAAATACATATTAATGATGATAAATGTCATTAATTTCATAATAAATTTTGAGAAAATATTTATAAAAAAAAAGGAAAGAAAATGTCAAAGTTAACACATTTTTTTACATTAATTATATTCAATGTATTAAAGGGGGCAACTTGATAGTGTTGTTAAATCACTATCAAAAATTACTAAATATTTTCCAAAGATTTGTAATATAGGAAACAATCTAGGTCATTCTTCTCGAAGATACAAGCCAATAGGGTCCTAAATTATCATGCAATTAGGAAGGAGATTATGTGATGTTGAATAAACAAAATTATGCATTACTAGAAGATATTAAACTAAAAACAAAAAATAAATAAATTTTCTCAGTCAATTCAATAAATACATATTAATGATGATAAATGTCATTAATTTCATAATAAATTTAAGAGAAAATATTAAATTAAAAAAAAGGAAAGAAAATGTCAAAGTTAACACATTTTTTATATTAATTATATCCGATGTATTAAAAGGGGTAACTTGATAGTGTTGCTAAATCACTATAAAAAATTACTAAATTTTTTTCAAAGATTTGTAATATAAGAAACAATTTAGGTCATTATTCTCGAAGATACAAGCCAATAGAATCCTAAATTATCACGCAATTAGGAAGGAGATTATGTGATGTTGGATAAAGAAAATTATGCATTACTAGAATATATTAAACTAAAAACAAAAAATAAATAAATTTTCTCAGTCAATTCAATAAATACATATTAATGATGATAAATGTCATTAATTTCATAATAAATTTTAAGAGAAAATATTAAAAAAAGGAAAGAAAATGTCGAATTTAACACATTTTTATATTAATTATATGCAATGTATTAAAAGGGGCAAGTTGATAGTGTTGCTAAATCACTATCAAAAATTACTAAAAAAATTTTCAAAGATTTGTAATATAGGGATTAATCTAGGTCATTCTTCTCAAATGAAGGTGATTTTTTTTTTTTTGACTGAAAGAAGGAGATTTTTATGAACAATAAATGCAAACAAAAAATTCAATCAAAAATTACATTGATTCAAGATTTCAATCGTTACAATAATTTTCATGATCAAATTATAATATGAATTCAATCAACCTAAAACAACATGAATATCACCAAAATGTATTTTAAATCTAGATTTATTGAATTTCATAAAAACGTGAAGCATAATCATGATCTCACAGTTTTCGTAAAATTCAAGAATGATGAATGTTTGATTTAGGAGATTGGGATTATTTTAGGTCTATATATAAATCTAGATCTAGATTCAAAATTAATATGTAAATCTAATCCAGATCTACTAAAATAAAATTCATAATCATGATGAACAAAAAATAGATTTAGAACGAAGAAGAAGACGAAGAGAATTCGTATAGAAAAAATAGATTCAAAACTTAAATTTCATCGTAATTCATGAAACCTCGAATCAAATTTATGAATGTCACACATCTTCATCAAGATGTTGTAGTTCATTCGTGTAGAAAAATTTAAAGAGAATTTTGAGAGAGAGAGAGAGAGATAATTTAGAGAAACTTCTAGCTAGAGGAAGTAACTCTAAAATATGAAAAAATGAGTATATAGTGTAAAGTGTACATAACATGTCTCACAACACCTATTAATAGAGAAACATAGTGGGTCAAATCAGAATATTTACAAGGCTCAGCCCACTAATCAACTAATTAACAAGGTTGGACTACTAATACAATAAATTCCTAAAGAAAACCCAAAATGAAGTGTAGAGGCATAATATTGACATGAAATTTTGGACCCTTAAATGTCCGAACTAGGTACAACTCCCAACTTAGGAGGGTTCAAATGACACTAGTGTAACTTTTACTAAGTGTTACACCGCTCAATAACTTTATATTACATGTGAATTTTAAAAATCCAACTGTTAGATTGAAATTTCATATTAGATCATATATACCAAATTTTGTTAAAATTGAACAACAACTTGAAGGTAATCAAAGTGTTCATATTTTAGTATATTTTGAAATGTATATATTACGTTAATTTTATTTTATGAGAATGAAGTCTCGAATCATCTTAGATTAATGTAAAATTTGGTATATATGATCTAAGAGATATGAACTTTCAATCTAACGGTTGGATTTTCAAAATTCACATTTAATATAAAGTTATTGAGCGGTGTAACACTTAGTAAAAGTTACACCGGTGTCGTTTGGACCCTCCTCATATATATATATATATATATATATATATATATATATATATATATATGTATGTATGTATGTATATGTATTAATTATGCACTATTTGAAGACACAAGCCAATGGGATCCAAAATCATCACGCAATTAGGAAAAGGATTTTTATGAATAGCAAAGAGAAAATAAAATATTACAAACACAAATAGAAAATTTTATTGGAAATTACATCAATTCAAGATTTTAATTGTTACAGTAAAATTTTAATGGTTCAAGTTATAATATGAATTCAATCAACCTAAATCAATACGAACATAATCTAAATGTAGATCTAAATTCAAATATATTGAATTTCATAAAAACATGAAACGCAATCACAATGTCACAATTTTTGTGTAATTCAAGAATGGTGAAAGGTTGATTTAGTTGATTTAGCTTATTTTAGGATCTGGAACCAAAATTAATCTTTAAATCTAGTCCATATCTATTGAGATGAAATTCATAATTATGAAGAACGAAAAATAAATGTAGAACAAAGAAGAAAACAAAGAGAATTTGTAGGGTAAAAATAGATTGGGAACTCAAATTTTACCGTAATTCACCAAACTTTAAATCAAATGAATGAATTAGCTACACATCAAAATAGAAAAAATATACAAATAGAAGAAAAAAAATACAAAATATAGAAATGAAATCAGAAACAAAATACAATAAAATTTACAAAAAAAAATATAATAAAAAAACAAAATTAGAGTACAAAACAAATATGAAAACAAAACTTGAAAAGTAAACAACAATAGAATACACAAATTGATATAGATATAGTATATAGAAATAGAAAAAGATTTCAGTAAAATAGATATTGAAATAAAATCAAAACTAGATACAAAAACAGAATAAAAACTATATAAAACATAACAAAACAGAAAAATAAAATAGAAAATAGAAAGAGACATTTTTTTTTACTAAAAACTAATATAAAAAATCACACCCACACTTATAATTCACATTGTCCTCAATGTAAGAATAAATTAAACAATAAAGACAATACACATTTTAATCATAGGGGATAAAACTTCCTCATAGGGGCTTGACCAAGGACAAATTCTCTACATCCCCTCCACACTTGAACACTACTAAAAAAATTAAAATTTGTGACGAAATTTGTGACGGATAAAATGTCGTCACTAATAGTGACGACTTTTGTGACGAAAATTTTATTTTTGTGACGGATTACTTATTTTTAGAGTTTGTGACGGATTTTGTGACGGAAAAATTTCCGTCTCTAACAATTCCGTCACAAATGGGGTCACTAATAAAAAAAAAATTGCGACGGATTTAGTGACGGATTTTGATTCCTCTCTAAATATTTCGTCACAAATTCTGTCACAATCTGTGAGGGATTATGTATCCCTCTCAAAATAGAAAATTTTATTGTACAATTATAATATTTAAGAATTATGTATAAATAAAAAATATTTTGCTAAAAAAATAATTAAAAAATTATGAAACTAAAATATTTTTTTCATCAAAAGATTAAAAATTAAAACATAAGAAATGAATTAATTTAAATAATAAGTTGTCATTTTGAAGTATAAGAAATTAAAATATGAATTAGGAAAAAACTTTTAATTTAAAAATACTTATGAAATTATAAAAAGACAATATTATTTTGCATTTTAACTAAAAAAGCTAAAAATAAATATATAAAAGTATATTTATAAATTATATATAATTATATATAACTATATATATATATATATA